TTCTTTTGTAATAACATAGAGGCAGCGATGACAATGCTTTTGTGGTATCATGATTATATTAATACAAATAAGAAAACATAGATTATAGAAGAAAATGAAATGGAAACCAAATTATGGTCTTATTTCACTAAATGTGTTCCTATTTCTAAAAATGTATATCTACGAAATGAACAAGGTTAATCTTACAAATGCCTACAAATGAATGGTATATTTCAGTACCCAAGTGGTGAAATTTTGGGAAACGTAATTTGTTCTTAGGAAAATATCTTTTCAATGGTCATTATGATATTTTAGCACCACATCATCATTCATTAATGATTTTTGTTTTAAAAACCAACCATACAGAGAATAATATACCACATTGTTTAATTAAACTGAATTTGTCAAACATTTTTCTGTTGTGTTAAATAAATAGAGATACACTATATGCTTAACGGTTTTACATATTCTTTATTCACTTGTATATTGTTAAAGTGTTATATTTCAGCATCCATCCGCAAATACATACTTTGCTGTTATACAATTGTATTCCTTCCTTGAATTAAGACCGAGGATTAAATCTGTTTCAGATTTCACTTACATGTTATATTAAAATGTGTTTTATAATTATAAATTAACTGATGACAAGACTTTTTAAAGGAATTTTCAGTGAAGTGTTATATCTATGTAATACTCAACACGACGTCTTACATAAATACATACACATACCTCCAAAGTTGTAATAAATACATGTATCAAACGATTACACACAACTGGTTATTGTTAGAGTTTTCGTGGAAACTCGTTGATTTGTATTTGTGTATGTATACACTACTTAATTTGTATTTGTGTACGTACACACTAATTAATTTGTATTTGTGTACGTATACACTAATTAATTTGTATTTGTGTACGTACACACTAATTAATTTGTATTTGTGTACGTATACACTAATTAATTTGTATTTGTGTACGTATACACTAATTAATTTGTCTTTGTGTACGTGCACACTAATTAATTTGTATTTGTGTAAGTATACACTAATTAATTTGTATTTGTGTACGTACACACTAATTAATTTGTATTTGTGTACGTATACACTAATTAATTTGTATGTGTGTACGTGTACACTAATTAATTTGTATTTGTGTACGTACACACTAATTAATTTGTATTTGTGTACGTACACACTGAGTAATTTGTATTTGTGAACGTACACACTAAGTAATTTGTATTTGTGTACGTACACACTAATTAATTTGTCTTTGTGTACGTGCACACTAATTAATTTGTATTGGTGTACGTATACACTAATTAATTTGTATGTGTGTACGTGTACACTAATTAATTTGTATTTGTGTACGTACACACTAATTAATTTGTATTTGTGTACGTACACACTAATTAATTTGTATTTGTGTACGTATGCACTAATTAAGTTGTATTTGTGTACGTACGCACTAGTTAATTTGTATTTGTGTACGTATGCATTAATTAATTTGTATTTGTGTACGTATACACTAATTCATTTGTATTTGTGTACGTATACACTAATTAATTTGTATTGGTGTACGTATACACTAATTAATTTGTCTTTGTGTACGTACACAATTAATTTGTATGTGTGTATACACTAATTAATTTGTATTTGTGTACGTACACACTAATCAATTTGTATTTGTGTACGTATACACTAATCAATTTGTATTTGTGTACGTATACACTAATTAATTTGTCTTTGTGTACGTGCACACTAATTAATTTGTATTGGTGTACGTATACACTAATTAATTTGTATTTGTGTACGTGTACACTAATTGATTTGTATTTATGTACGTATGCACTAATTAATTTGTATTTGTGTACGTATACATTAATTAATTTGTATTTGTGTACGTATACACTAATTAATTTGTATTTGTGTACGTACACACTAATTAATTTGTATTTGTGTACGTACACACTAATTAATTTGTATTTGTGTACGTACACACTAATTAATTTGTATTTGTGTACGTATACACTAATTAAACAAAAACACAATACGTGTATTATTGACAAAACATTTATTTTTTGTATCCTTAGTCATGATTGTGAATCTGAATTGTATGATTTTATAAATACACAAATGATTAGCATTTTTCAATACAAATTAGATATAGTGGAGTCAAACAATAAATTTAATTTGATCTTCCTTCTAGGACTGTGAAGCTAAAGGTCTACATCTAGAAGCCTAGAAGGCGACCGGGTAATATCCATAATGTTTAAAACATAATATATTCAGTCAAACCTGTCAATTCGTTTTTATATCTAACTGTCTATAAAGAGCGATGATTTCGTCCCGTGATTAGATGTAAATGTTTTAAAAATAAAACGTTGCTATAGTAACAGTGTTGCGAGTAATCGAACGAGCTTGTTTATTTACATTATTTAAGATTTATATTAAGTTTTTACTATCAAATGTTTTTTTTATATTATGTTTATGCCTATAAACATTAAGTTAGCTTTATGTCGTACTGGGAAAGAAAATTCTTGTTTTCATTATTTAAACTTTTGTTCTATTTTGTTTTGTTGTTCGTTTGTTGTTGTTTAGTTATTTATTTATTTATTTATTTATTTTGCACTGTTATGTTTTTTTTTTCTTGCTTTTGCATGTATGTTTATTATTTTCTTCATATATTAATTTTTCTTTGTTCTCCAATTCATATTCAAATATATGGTTTACAATTTGCATGAAACACCAATATTTACATGTATATATGGAACACATTTAAAGTTGTCGGTAAGGGCTTTTCCCTTTGAACATGGCACAAAGTAGTTTTCGCAGGAAAACATAAAACAATGTTGTGACTGGTGCTGTCAGCCGATGACCGATTATTGACCAATGTCAGCTTACTGGTCAAGCTTTCGGCATGTTTCTGTCTCGGAACACGTGTTATAACACTACTGACGAGTAAACTGACATATTGTCTCTATAGTTATATAAGCATATCCGGGCTCCATTGTCTAACCGCATCTTTACGAAATATATGTCAATTGTGTTTTGATATAAAATCGTTGTCGTTAACTCTTTAAAGTGTTGACACACGAAAGTTTATGACATTTAATCAAATCTTGAAAACGTTATTGTAAATCACCACATCGCATTGTGCCCTTAATATGGCAGTTACTTACTTAATTGTACTTGCGAACATATTTCCCTCTATTTGCCGTCATCCTGAATGATATACGCTTCAATTCAAATAAGCATACTTTGTGAGTTTATTATTCAAATATCAAGTATTTGTTTCAACTGTTTGTGATATTGAATAACCACCCCCCAACCCCCCAACCCCCACAAAACCCCAACTCCCATTCCCCCAACCCTACCCCCTCCCCTGATTTGTAAAACGGTTCTATTATTTATTCCGTTAGATCATAATTCTGTGATGGTATCAGAAATGTAACAGATATGGTAATATTAGGAGAAAGGTGACTCTACCATATGTTTTAACACTAGAACTTAAAATAATTATGTTATGCATAGTACCACTAGAGTGAAAATTCTTGATACTAGACATTTTAGCATTAGATCAGTACTCCGAAAAGACAACCGTTAGAACAAACGAAGTTCTGATTGTTCCGAGTACAAAGTCTTACAACTATCGCTTTTATCACCAAAACATGGATGTTTACCGCCATGTATGATAAAATGGCGACACTTTCATGTTACTGCAATCGCGAGAGATTAAAGCCGCGAAAGACAGTTGGTTTTATACAGTATGAAATTGATCGGGTAAAATCTACTTCTCATGATATCATTTTATACAAGTGTTGTTTAGACACATCAAACATTTGTATATATGTATACATTTTGTGCATATTTTTCCACGTGCTTTTCATACTTTCATATTCCAGTCCTCATTTTTGAAGTTTGCAGAGTACAGAATGAAATGAATGAAATGTATGTACATTTCACGGATCAAAGTATTGATTATGATGATAAACATGTTGGTATTTTTATATATACACTACATATCGAAAAAAAAAAACATAATGACACAACGCAACACTTTTAAAATTGTACGCAAGATTTTTGTGATATAATAAAACAAGTTCCATTGATTAAATTTAGGATGCACTGAAATGACAAAAATATAATACTAAGAAATATCCCCTGTCTATTTCATTTACCATATCGTGGCACGAACTCATTACATTTGTGGCAAAATTGAAGTATGACATATATTTAATTATTGCTACCTGACATCGATCTTGACAAATTCGTTGTATATTGATAAATGTAGCTAGACAGAGCTATGACTCTAATATCTTGCTTTCCCCAGAGGTGTTCGATCTCACAGATAAGGACTAAGTTTTTTCTTTGTCTTTTTTTATTGACAGGTAAAATTTGGACAGACGGAACAAAGTGGACGGTTAATGTGACAGGCAGTGATAAATAAACCTGTGTGATAGAGATACAATCCTTGATTTAACAGCTCATTGGTTCATTTTGTCATGCTACCATGTTCTCATTTATCATCGTTTAGAATGAAACTAATTTACACAGTACCTACATATTGGGGCCCATGAAGGGAATTAAAATAATAAAACAATGAAAAAAAATTAAATAATATTTAAAATAAATTATCAAAAATATATATATTTTCAGTTATAAGTCTAATTTGAAATAAGTTATTTGACGACATATGTGTACGTGATTTTTCGTTAAAAGCACTGTGTTTTTTTTCAGAGAACGTGAACTACCCCCCGGGCATTCCAATCATTAAAAGATAACCAAGGGGGCATACTGAACTTCATGCATGATCAATTATAAAATGATACTTGGATGGACCAGGAATTGCGATCAAATTTATCTATTTATTTACCTACGGCCGACCAGACAACATCTCTTGAGGTCAAAGGAAACAACACGTGCAGTTTAACCAAGTACAGACCTGGCAGTATCGTTCTTACATCAATATCGATATAAGATACAGTAGAAAATTATCTTACTTACCGAAAATACATTTAATTCAAAATGACCTCAACAGGTCAGGAGTTCGGTATGTTCTATATGTACAAAGACGCAAAACCAACCGTTGAAAGTCGCTACCCTATATTGGAATATGTCAAACGTAAACTTAAAATCGGACAGTTTGATCCAGAAGACAACAGAAAGGCGTTGGTAAAGAAAACTGGACATTACCGTGTCAAATACACAGGTAAGTAATGTATTAACATTTATACTACGTATTTATTTTAATCTGTAAGCATGTATAGAATGTCAGTAATTTGCAAATATTTATAGAATGTATGTATCAAATAAATATTTAAAATGTATTTAATTATTATTTGTGACGCCGTGAAAATAAATTTGTAAACTGATTATTTTCGTTTAAATTCAAATAATTTATCAACAGTGAACACAAACCGAATTAGTTTGAATAGTAAAATACTAACACATCTCTGAGAGGAAAAATACGATTAAGCGTTCTCATGTGCACATTTTAACGTATCAAATTTAATTTAATTTAATTATCAAACAATTTACATTTTTTTTTCATAAAATATACAAAGTGTATCCATGCTTAACAGGTGCGAAATTTTATTCGTTTGCTTAAAATGTACAGAATGTGTCAGCTTACGCCTAAATGTTGTTGGGTTTTTTTTTCAAACCGACGGATTCCTACTTTTATCATTTCCTACACAATATATGTTATTATTTCTTTCTATTCTTTAATTGCTGTCACAAATTCTTTTAAAATGACCAATACACTAGAGACTGTACTAGACTTGTCATGCAATATTCACATCTAAGAGATATAAGCTGTACCAGGAGTGCCTGCATGTTTACTGAGGATAACAAAAATATTCGAGTTTTGAACAAGTAATCTTTGAGATAGTTAGATGATGCTATATCAATACATAAGTTATATAAATTTTATTCGGATCCTAATGGCCTATAAACGAGCGTCACTTCAAAATATAGCTAGACGACTAATTAAAATATTTTATGTGTACTCAATATATCCGATTAGGATTTTTAATCACGTGTTTAATTTTAGCGCTAAATATGATTGATTAAATAATCGCTGCAGCCGTGTCATTCCAAATGTAATTAAAAATATATAGTACATAACGTTTGAGACAATAACGCTTTAATTTAATTCTATAGAAATTTAAAATAAACACAGTAGAATGAATAAAACTCATAAGTGATGTAATGACCTACATTGAAAAGTCAATGTCCCAAGAGCGATTGAGGAATACCCAAATAAGTACAAAAAATAATTGTCAAAATCCAGAGGGTAAGTGTACTAATACAAACATTAATCAATTTCATAATTTATGAAAATCAAAGGTTTTAAGGACATATGAGTTTGTTTTTTTGCATGTATTAGCAGTTATATGAACATAGTAACGTTAACACGTTTATAGCATCGACTATAACTAAACACTAAAAACGGCGCTCGTCTTTTTACCTTGTGTTTGTTTGACAATTGGTGAAAACCGGTTATTTGAAGAAATATGTCTCTAGCATCACTGACGAGTCCTGAAATGACGAAACAGCTGTATGATGCAGTTTATTGTTTGGTTCATTTGTCACTAACTCTAAATTTATATTGAACGATGCTTAGCAATTGTGTTTCTTTTAAGCAATCACCATTAGTATCCACTAATTACTTGACCATGCTGTAAACGATCTTTGATATATTGGACGGTTATTGGTGTGTGTATATATAACTTTCCATGACGGCAAGTGAGACATTGTATTTAATGTAATCGTCCGACCGTAGATCAGGACATTGTGACAACACTACGATTATTGGCAATCAATGTCGCTCTATTGATGTTACGATAGTGACACCAGTACGGTTATAGCTGTGTATTTGACTAAAGTGGCGGTGGGTTACAGGTAATATTATCTGTATTCGGCAACAGGTATAATTGTAAGGTTAAGCTGGCATCCGTTGTATTATTTGACAATAGGCACAACAGATATAATATTTGGAAGGACAATTTTGAATTCACTTCATTTTGAATTGTCCTTACACCGAGTTTAATTTGACTCTAGGAACAACAATTAATTCTTGGAGGAAAATATTATTACTAAGTATACCTTATTTTTAAGTGTTTCAAGTGCTGAAAGATTTTCATAATCACAGGTTTCGTCTAAAGTTGTTCTTTTTTCTTCTCTTTGTTGCGTTTTATCTGCTTATAAAGATATAAGCTTAGTTTAAACTCTCATCTTTATCTGATTAAGACCTGTCTTAAATCACCACCTAGAATATCATCGTATCAATAACAAATAGATGAAATACCAGAAACATTAGGGTTTAATTAACATATATTTGACACGCAATAGATACAGTATGTAATAAGAATATCAATATGTCTTTCTGCAGATTTTTCTACAGCAGTATCCATATGTTAAGATTTCATATACTATAAGATGACATCACTGTGTATATTGTGTTACTAAAATATGTATTTGACAACAAAGTTATGACGTCATTTTTAATTGTTTTCATAGGGCATAGTGATCGTTATTTTTAAACAAGCAAGTTCTGCATCTTTGATAAAAACAATAAAGTTAAAAACATATTTAGAAAGAAGTTCTTGGAATAATTTTTTTCGCTGAAAGCATGCTTTTAATGTTCAGTTATGTGAAAGAGTACAAACTGCTTTTGTTATCATAAGTATATGACTGTTTCCATCAAATCACATTAAAACATTTTCACATAAAATTCAAAATACTGATTTCCTTTTGCGCTGAACCTATCAACCTTGCGTGGTAAGATGGTTATAATACCGAGGCGTGGTTCATGGAGTTCATAGGAGATCTCTTTACGTAACACATTGTAAAGCTAGGACTGATCTTTTTATCATTCTACTAATTCTTATTAAGTAGCACCATTCTCTGGGCTTGAGGGCAAATTATACTGATATCTGTACACGCGTTCCTCTCGTGAGAAATATTACTCGGCTGATTGACACCCAAGTAATTCCTAACACTTTTCATGATTTTTTTTTATGTACAGAAACAGTTGCTTGGGTTTCAATGTCAGAGATAAGAGATACCACAATCGGAATTACCTAGTAGTATTATTTAGTGCGGACTCTGACAATTTCCTCACTTTTTTTCTATAAAAGCTAAGACAATATGGTAATGGAAAACTCGTTCTGGGTTTTGTCTTATTTTCTTATGTGTAATTTTCTTTGAAACACAAGTAAATGTGTTGCAGAAAACTTACCATCCTTTCATCTCTCACGAGCTTAATAATTTGCGCGATTTATCAAAAAGATATAGCGTGCGAAGACAGCCAAGCTATGTTTTGATAATTATTAACATGGTATTCACTTCGACTTTTCAGGACTGAAAGAATTCCGAGGACTTTTCTTAAGGGATCTGTACATCACACTCATCGACCTACAATGGCGGTATGTTCTCGCCATCGTCTTCAACATGTATCTCGTCACGTTCTTCTTCTTCGGTGTATGTTGGTATTGGATCATGGCTAGCAATGGCGACTTCGACCATATCAACGACCCCAACTGGAAGCCTTGCCTGAGCGGAGTTTACACATTCGCCGGCACTCTCATCTTTTCCATTGAGACGCAGACGACGATTGGGTATGGTTACGCTTATCTGAATTCGGATTGTACGAGCACCCTAGTGTTGCTGTTCATACAGATCACGTGCGGAATATTGATGGAGAACCTGTTGCTTGGCTTTGTCTTCGTCAAGTTTGCCCAACCAAAGCGCCGACAGAAGACCATCGTCTTCAGCAAGACCGCCGTTGTTAACCAGGAAAATGGCTGTCTCTGTTTACAGGTAAACGCAATTTTCAAACTTACTTTTACTTTTCTTTGCTGTTAATGGTTCAGATCTAATGCAAATCTGATTTTATCAGCTGAGTTCGTTGATAAAAACCAGCACTAGATCCTTTTAAGGACTGTTTTTAAGTTCAGTTTTAGGACTGTTTTTAAGTTCAGTTTTAGGACTGTTTTTAAGTTCCGTTTCAGGACTGCTTTTAACTTCCGTTTTAGGACTGCTTGTAAGTTCCGTTTTAGGACTGCTTTTAAGAAGCGATCGCTGATTTAAGACATAAAGTCCTACATATGTGCATGTATTGTAATATATTGCCACCCCAGTAATCCCAGACTTACAATTGTTTTTTTTAAGTTGATAAAAATGTTCAATATTACCATCTTTCATTCGTCAATGTAATGACTTTTTATGTTTGATGTACGTTTAGTGTATCAATAATAAAATATATTATTACGATACTCTAATTTTCCACACACAGGTCCGACTTGGCGACATGCGACAGAGCCATTTGCTGGACGCACGAGTTCACGGAGTCCTCACAAAGAAGCACGTGACCACAGAAGGCGTACAGTACCCGCTTTATCTACACGACATGGAGTTCCATGCTCAGGGTATGGGAGAAAGGATAGTTCTGATGTGGCCACTTATCTTATCCCATAAAATCACTTCCGATAGCCCGTTTTGGAACATCAAACCAGCCGACCTTATGAGCGATAAGTATGAACTCATCATTTATGTAGAAGGCACCATAGAATCTACTGGAGAGTACTGTCAGGCTCGAACCTCATATCTTCCTACTGAAGTCCTCTGGGGACACCGGTTCGACAGGCTTGAGGAGTTTGATTCCGGCAATGGTAGATGGGAAGTCGACTTTGAAGGTTTTCATGACGTAATCTATACGACAAACATCCGTCATAGTGCAAAAGAACTGCATGATATGAAATTCAATCCTACCAAAGATAAGGCCAATGAGGGCGCTACAAGTCCTAACCGTAAGACACCAAGTCCTCCACTCTCAGTTTCCCTTCACACTATACCATACGATGCCCCACCCACGTCAGATACCAGCAACGACATCACGGACACAACGACCGCACAGGAAGGATCTTCAATTATGCCGGAAATGACGTCAGAAGACGAAATGGAAAACTACATGCACACAGTTTTGAGTACTAATTCTTCTGGGAACGAAGACGAATGTGAACCAACAGACAGAACCGCCTCGCCAGACACAAATGCTAAGGAGGATGTCTACACAGAGATCCACAGCGACCTCGGGAACGGTAACCTAGGCGATATACAAGAGGAAGATGAGAACGACATGCTAGCGCGGTACAAGTATGCTGATGCCGACGACGATGATGACGAGGAAAAATCAGATGATGAATATCTGTCGTCTTGATATCTGTTCATTTGATGTCGTGTGAAAACTATTGAACTAGCGGATAAGTCTGTCTAGGAATGCAGAAACAACAATATTGGTTTATATAATCCTGAGAGATTAAAGGACTCTAGTGTGTTTGACTTAAGGTTTTCTCCGGATACGATAACACAAATGTGATGAGGAGGTTTTACTATAATGCAAGGGGTATCTAAAGGAATTGTAATAATATGTACAGTTATTCATATAGATACAGGGTTGTCCTCAGTTTAATTACAATATCGTAAACGAGCATAACTAAGGTAGTGTTATAATAACTCGAAATCCGGGCTTACAGTCTTGATAATATATATTTTTAAAAAATCCCACGATAGTTCGTTTCGCTTAATTACGAACTCTTCCGAAATTGAGACTTCTTCCTCCTTATCATCTTAATTCCGTTTTTTTAAATAAAAGAAACTATCAGAACGGTAAATAATCTTGAATAAGAATTCCAATCGCTATTGTTCAATAAGTGAGATTGTGTCGATTTTGTTGTGATGTAAATGTAGTCCCGTATCCCTATTTACTTGTATATATGTGGTTTCATAATACGATTTTTTTATTGTGATTGAACGAGAGAGATCACTTGTTGAGTGAATACATCGTGATATGATATTGATTAATCTTAGGTTCTGTTAATATCCTTAATTATGACGTCATACTTGACGTCGCCGTTGTCTTGACAACGCGAGAAATGGTGCCCGTTGTTATAACATTGTATTTTGGTGTCGATGAAACGGGACGTTCATTTTTATGAATTATGACATAAATCTACGTCGGTTATCATTTTTTTGCTTTACGTTAATTAATATCCTCACGTGCACTCGTCTCAGCTATAGGATTACACGTTATTTGTTTATCGATAAGCAGTCATTTCAGTCCAGCTTTCCTTCCATAAAACACGAGTTTTGCATATTTTCTCTGAAAAATGGTCAGAGATGGTGTTACTTACACAATTTCAATGACGAATGAGTTAAATAATAATAGAGTTACCCTGGTGATTTTGGAGTGTAGTTTAACATCCTCGTTACCAGGAAATACTCATCGATCAGAATTACCCAGAAATTACTAGAAAAGTTGAAGTTAAATTCGCCCTCGTACACATCTCTGTGGCATACCACTAATTATATTTAAAGTCATATAGGAATCGCTATTGAATTTGCTAACATGTCATCTTAAGCATCTAATACCTGATAAATATACTTTATCCTACACAATAAATATACTTTATCAAGTCTTTACTTTGTCAGTTCCCTTCGTGCAATCCACATATTTTTACGAATTGCATGAAATGATAAAGCAACATGTAAGGGACATAACTGTGGCTCAAACTGTGTTAATACACGTTATTATAAAACGGCTCAATGTTTCTTTGTTCAAGGCTACTGTTATTTAGATTGGTGATGTAGTATGTTGTTATTTATATCATATAGAAACCGATCAAAATTGTGTACATGTGTAAATGAATGTTTATGTATCAATAAATAAATGATTGGAATAAATAATCAACAAGACATTTGTAATTCTTTACAGACATTGTACATGTAGATGAAGAGCACCTGTTTTAGAAAAGTCCTCTTTACAAACGAGAAATCGCTTGATTAGAGGTCAAGGTCACGTGGGCAGAAGTCAAGACAAGACTGAATAATTTACTGTTGAAATTTTTTTTAATAATGACATTTGAAGCAAAATTGATCAGAATCACAGGAAAAGTTGCATGGCTTCAGATCACGGTCATCAGGTCAAAAGTCAAAGTCATTTTTATTTTCAACATTTGACTGGTAAATATCAATTAATGATATTATGTCAAAATTAACCAAAATCATACGAGGGAGTGCTTGATCAAAGATTTCAAAGTCGTCGTTATATTTTGTATCTCTTAACTGAAGTTATTCATACGAGATTTGAGCAAGACTCACTGCAATAATTACAGATGAGACATCGATCGATATTCCTACTGAAATTGAAGAAATATAACCGTGTCTACTTAAAGCATAAATGTATTTGTCGTAATGTCCAAATACCATGACGTCATGCCTATTGTCTGCAGTCATTCTTCATGTAGGTTTGTCTTCAGTCAGTATTTATGGTCCCCGTACAGACAGTTTTTCAAGTTTCGTATATAAATTACACACCTGAATTTTAAACCACCAACAATGCAATGGGTCAACACATCAGCTACATGTATTTTGACTGTAAACGTTCGCCATTTCTTTCAACAAACTACTAATGACGTCATAATGGTCACACGTCGGTTGTTATTGACTGTACCATGACCTTACACTCTATAAACCAGTAATGTGCTTTCTCGTTAGTATTAAGTGTATTGAATACATTTCATGATATCTAATTATGATGCCGAGGTGAAATCAGGACTCCTCAACTATCAATTTTTTGGGCATTTTAAATATAAGAACAAAAATTACAATAATAATAACTTAATAACGAAATTTTCAAAGAAATACTTTTGGGGGTAAATAGTAGTTTCGGTAAAAGGTCATAACTCCATAAAGTATAGGTATATATATTTTTTCAATAAATATTTCACTAAGACCATGACAATCTATGTTTATTGAGTAAAACAATAAGTCTTGAGATTATATGTTGATTTTACCTAGGCAAGAATTCAGGGTTTTCAAAATAATGTTCAATGTCTTTCACACACACAATGAAATAGCTTATTCCTTCAACAGATTTTTGTTGAAGGTTTATTGGAAAAACTTAACAACATTCACATAATCAATGTAAAACAAGTTTTGAATTCAAGAGGGTCATGACCCTTCACGGCCAATGGATGGACAAATCCACAGAATTCGCTGATGGTAGTATGATAAATCTGACGAATTCTAATTTTGAACATTCCTTGAAAGTATGAAACTCATCAATGGTAGGGTCTGTGCATGATCAACAGTAGCACCATAATGTTATATAATAACTACTCTGGTTACCATGTTGAAGTTTTGTTCAGACTGAAAAGTAACAACAAATCATTTCTTTCTTTTCTTTAAAAAAACAAATTTCAAATATTTTTCTCATTGGTGTGAATGAAACATGAGAAGTTCAGACTATTTGTTGTAGACGAGTTATGTTGGATTTTGGAACAAAGCGTTAAAATAAGACTTGGTCGGGACAATCTCCGGATTACATCATACTTGTTTGATATTGCCAGTCCCTGATAATGCTTCAGGACAAATTTGGTTGAAATCTACCAAGGTATTAAGAAGGAATAGTGTTTTGAAGCAACATATTGACTAACTTTCCCATCTAGATCCCCACCTGCCCCCAGGTCCCAAGGGGTTAAATAAACTTTCTGAATTTAAGGAATATTCCCCAACCTTCAGTGATGTTTCAGTTCAAATTTGGTCACAATACAATGTCTAGGCGTTTAGCATTAATAGTGTTTTAGAGGAAAAGTTTACGGATGGCAAACGGTGCACGACAGGACAATACACATAAGCAATAGGATCTTGACCTTTTGGGTCAGATGACCTAACAACAGAGGTTAAATCTACAGTGTGTATCTGATATTTGGTTGTATTCTGTTACATCTCAATTCACAACATGCACTAAACAATACACACAACAAACTAAACAGAGACAATATTTTTTTTCATTTCATTTAATTTTGTGTTTGATCAGCTGAATGTTAATGAGAATGCCTTGTATCCAAAGTTTGTGCAGACATCAATCTTCGGACTGTTTCCAGCAGTACAAAGCACCTGCAACATATTACCATGTAAAATACCATTATTTAACAATATATTTATATTATGTCATAATGTCGAGAAAGAGACCATATTTTTATTTAATTTTTCAATAAAAGTTATGATAACTTCCCTTATTTACACTCTCCACAATACAATTCCTGTATATTAATTATTTCCAATAATTTCTGCATATGGGACAATTTCTGATTCACTACTATGTACTAGTGTTGATGGAAAATTCAGCTACTTTATGACTTTAGAGGGTGGTGAATTTCTATTACTTGATGACCTAGATGGTAGGTGGGAAACATTTTATCACAACAAAGAGATGAGAAATTTCTCAATCCAAAAGGATTTTCAATTAGCAATCCTAACTGACTACTGAGGATGGAAAATTTCCAATCCTCTCTCACTTCCAGAGTTGGAAAAATTTCCTTCCTCTATTACTACAAAGCTAGGTAAATTTCCTATTTGCTATGACTACCAATGGAGGAAGATTTGTCATCCTCTAAAATACTTTCAATTTACCATTACTGATGACTGTCGAAGGAACTAAGTATTCCATCCTCTATAAATAAGAAGGGAGGTAATTGCCCTTCCTCTATGTTTACCAAAGGATGCAAATTTGTCATCATTTATGACAACAAAGGGAGGTAATTTTACCATCATGCATGACGGCCAAGCCAAGTTAATTTGTCATTTTCTATATAATTAGGAATGGAAGGGAGGTGAGTTCCATTAACTTCACCAAGGCAATTTCTCTGTTACCATGACTGCCAAAGGATAGAGATTTCCTCTCCTTAATGCCTTTCAGACTACAAAGGGAGGTAAATATCTCTTTCTTAAAGACTAATGTTGAAAATTCTGCATCCTTTATGACTACTATAGGTGGTAAATTTTCCTTCCTTTCTGGCTCCCAAGGAAGAAAAAATTCTCATTATAAAAAACCACTGGGGATGGAAAGTTTCCCAATTTGTATGAATACTAAGGGACTTAATTTCTTATTCCAAACAACTACTGGGGTTAAATGAGTTCCAATCTTCTAGGACTACCAAGAGAGCAAATTTGTTGTACATACCTTGTGACTGTTTAGGGCTGTGTTGACAACAACACTGAACACATTTGTAGGAGTACAAGGAATTCGTGATTTTTGGTCACCATTAATGTACCAATGGTTCACATATGGCTCGCTTCCCGCGGAAATAATCTGGAATACAAGGGAATCAATATCACAGATTTTACATTCAAAATCAAATGAAATCCCCTGAAATACCACTAACAATTCAAAGAACAATTTATTCACAAAGGATTTGGATGAAATGCATTCTGTTAGGCAATCATTAAATGGATAGGATTACAATACATACTGTATCCTCATAGAACATGACTGTCTTCTGACATACAGCTGGTGTATCAAATACTGTGGTGGCCTCCAGTGATCTCAGGTGCCACAATGACATCTTTGGACCACCTCCACATACCTGCAAACATGCAGCCTATATGAGAGTCTAATACTATATTCTCAAATAAAAAAAAAATTAACCTAGTTTGTGATATTTTACATTTAATGTTTTGCAATGTTACTCGTAATTTCATTTTCATATCATTTTTATTATTACTACAAGCAGAATTTCATCAATTGAATATGATATGTTAATATTTTTCCTTTTTTATAAAATTTAAATAGTTTTTCCCTTTTTAGATAGAAAAATTAATAATCATACAACTACTATCATTTCAAACTTTTTAACACTCCTTCACACTGGATCCTTGTGGACAACAAAGATACATTTCAATATGTGAAGATTTTCAAAAGCAATAAAGACTACAAATCAACACATAGATATTCAAAACAATCAACTCACCAACCAATCATCACCAGTTTCCATAGCTACACATCCCAACCATTTTCCAAACTCTGGTCGAGCACATATCTGATACATATGTGAAATGAATGTAATTAATATACAAAGAAATATTTTGTTTTAGAGGTGGTTTTTCAAACTGAAAATATTTTTCTATATTTATAGAGAATACTTCAGTATTAAAATTTATGCAACATTTCATAAAAACTTATTTATTCTGATTTCTAGACATCTTAGTTCTGGATTCTTTTCTAAACAAGAGGCCCAATAGACCTGCATCACTCACATGGTATTCTTTGTTCATCAGCAACGGAATCGTTGGGCACATCCAATAAATTTTAACCAATTTCAACAACAAAATGCTTCTAATACTTACAATGACAGTTATGACCTGGATTTTAAGTAAATGCCAGAAATTTTTCATTGAAATTTTGTGGGCTCTAACATTTAACAAACTTGATACCTGTGACCTTCAATTAGGTTAAGGTCATTTCTTTTTGCAAACATCAATCATTATCCTAGGAACCAATCAGCAAAATACCATGATTCTTTGCCGTTTGGTTGGTCAAAAGAAGTTGTTTACAGGTTTTTAAAAAATCTGATCCCTGTGATATTGAGCAAGGGTCAAGGTCGTTTCTTTTCACAAATGTTAATCATGATCCTTGGAACCTATCAAACAAATACCATGCTTCTTTGCCGTTTGGTTGGTCAAAAGAAGTTGTTAAAAGGTTTTCACAAATTTGACCCCTGTGATATTGAGGAAGGGTCAAGGTCATTTCTTTTTCACAAGCTTTGTTGGCTTTATTAACAAATCCTATCATCTAAAGACCATGGTTCTGTGCCTTTTGGTTAGTCAGGAGATGTTTGAATTATTGAATTGAACAAGGGTCAAGGTAATTTCTTCTTGCAAACCATGTCGGGATTCATCCTAGAAACCTATCAGTCAAATATCATGTTTTTTCATCAACTGTTAGAAGTCATTCAAGGGTTTCAACAAATTTGACCCTTTTGACCTTAAATAAGGGTCAAGGTTGTTTATTTTTCCAAATATTGCTGTCTTCATCTTAGGAACCTATCACTCAAACATCATGCTACTTAGTCTTTTGATTATTCAGAAGAAGTCAAGGTCACTTCTTTTCACAAACTTCATTGGGCTTTATCCTAGGAACATACCAGCCAAGCATCATATATCTAGGCCTTTCAGTTCATGAGAAGAAGAGAAGTCATTTAAAGGTTTTAACAAATCTGACCCCATGACCTTAACATAAGTCAAAGTCAATTCTATTCGCAGACTTTGTTGAGATTCATCCTAGGAACATACCAGCCAAATATCAAAACATTTGGTCCATTGGTTATTGAAAAGAAATTGTTTAAAGGAAAAAGTTAAAGCCAGGTGACAGACACCGCCCTATGACATAAAACGAGAATGATAATTTATTAATATTTTCACTGTATATTACAAGGATACAGGATAACATGAAGAAAGTGAAACTTCAGAAGATCTTGGTGTATCAATCATCAATTACTAGCCATATACTGGGTTGATTTGGAATAAAAACTTCTGAATCCAGCAGATTACAAATGGATGGTACAAGTGTGTAATTCATACACTGTAAAAATGTATGGTCATTTTGTTCTCTAAAACTATTCTTTGCTAGAAATCCTGCTCAGAGAAAGAGTATACATTAATGTATGTGCGGTACACAGGTGAATACTTACCTGGTTTTTGTATGGTTCAAGTGTATGTTCTGCTGCAGAAGGGTGTCTCATATCTAAAGGGGTGAAACCAAGCATGAAAACATAATTCTATCATAAGTCGAATAGACAACACCTCATGATTTATACATGTATTGATCATGCTTTACATGTTAAAAAATAACCAAGACATTTGACTAATCTGACATCAGTGTGGTTAAATAAATAGCAACACTAGTTGAACTAACAGGTATTCTACATCATTTAAATGATTATAAGTGACATGATAGTTGGAAAGAAAATTGAAAAAAACCTTTATTAGGACAATGACTTGCTTTCGAAAAGATATATTGTATAGGATTATCATGATTTTTTCACTGTGTAATCTTTACTGAACTTACTCCAGATTTCACTGTGTAATCTTTACTGAACTTACTCCAGATTTCACTGTGTAATCTTTACTGAACTTACTCCAGATTTCACTGTGTAATCTTTACTGAACTTACTCCAGATTTCACTGTGTAATCTTTACTGAACTTACTCCAGATTTCACTGTGTAATCTTTACTGAACTTACTCCAGATTTCACTGTGTAATCTTTACTGAACTTACTCCAGATTTCACTGTGTAATCTTTACTGAACTTACTCCAGATTTTCACTGTGTAATCTTTACTGAACTTACTCCAGATTCTCAGTGTAATCTAAACTTAACTTACTCCAGATTCTCACTGTGTAATCTTTACTGAACTTACTCCAGATTTCACTGTGTAATCTTTACTGAACTTACTCCAGATTTCACTGTGTAATCTTTACTGAACTTACTCCAGATTTCACTGTGTAATCTTTACTGAACTTACTCCAGATTCTCACTGTGTAATCTTTACTGAACTTACTCCAGATTCTCACTGTGTAATCTTTACTGAACTTACTCCAGATTTTCACTGTGTAATCTTTACTTAACTTACTCCAGATTTCACTGTGTAATCTTTACTTAACTTACTCCAGATTTCACTGTGTAATCTTTACTGAACTTACTCCAGATCATCACTGTGTAATCTAAACTTAACTTACTCCAGATTCTCACTGTGCTCACCACACAGAACTGATTAGACATTTTCATTGTGACATCATTCAGAACTTTTTCTAGATTTTTACAATGAAATCTTTCAAGTACTTACCCCAGATTTTCACTGTACCATCCTCAGAAGCTGTAGCACACATCTGACCTTTGTTTTTCAGTGACACACTGTGAATGTAATTATCATGTCCAGACAAACTGACCTGGAATGAGACAAAAAAAAAACAAACTCACTTTTTATTTGGAAGAGATGAAGGCAATTATCTTATATTGAGCACAGAGAGAAACAGATGTATGGTAATCATGTGGAAATCCAAAGTGGTTAAGAAAGATCCCTACAAAAACTAACAAATTGCTTATGACATCAGCCTTAGACTGTTATGTCCCTGGATACTTTTAACATCTGTGAACTTTTGATCATGTTAAATGGTTAAAGAAAGACCTTGACTTAGAAAAATTTACTTTTCAATCATTCATGTGGAATGAAATTTTCTAAAAATTGGACATTCAACTCAAATGAATTTACCAAATATATACGATAATGGTTTGAAATGCCTCTTACCAAAACCTTTATCAAATAGTTTTTTCAAAATAGTTAACAATCATCCAATTACAATAAAAACAGTTCTGATTTTATGTTTATAGATTATGGTAACATAGAAAACCGATGTCGCTATAGCAACCCGTTGACCCACAATGACACGGTACATCAAAATGTGTACCTTATAGATCCCAGTGAGCTAGTTTTTAGCTAATGTCTATTTATCATCAGAATTATGGTTCCAGTACTTTTTGTATACAAAGATATCACAGGAATACAAATTTTCCATTAGGATGGAGTTGTAGCTAACAATGTAAGGCACACAGGGCTTTTTAACAAATAATACATGATCTAGACCTTACATACCAATTGTTCTCCTGTCTCCAGGTCCCATACATACACATTGTTGTCTCCACAGCCTGCATAAAGTCGACATTGTGTTTCCTGTTAACAATGCAAAACATCCACATACTGTAGTTTTTTTCCCCTTTCACAAGGTATTTTATTCTCTATTTAAAAGGACTGAATGATAGTGTTGACAATGCTTTCCATAAATACAACTTTTTGGCATTGAATAAATTTTTCTTAACAATAGAAAAAAACAGTATTTTCTACAGCATCAAATATGTCGTTGATCAGTCCAATCTAAGTTAATTTGACTATGATTTCAATTTTAGCACTTCTGATCAGCCTGTTTTCTGATTTAAGTGACTTGATAATGGTCAATAATGTGCCCAATCTAAAATATTTCATTCATTTAAGTGTGTAATTACCCAACAATGTCCACATCATCCTTTAATTCATTGTTTATAAACCTATGAAGAGAAAATTCATGCCCATCCAATTACTATAAACTATGAAAATTGTAATAATGAGATAAACTTTAAGAGGGAAAAATGTGGTGTTTGTTTCAATGATGAATTAAATAAACAGTTTTAAAGAGATGTATGGAAAACTGAAAAAAAACCTCAGACAACATTTGAATGCAGAAAAGAACAAAGGACAATAACTCTGAAATATATTTGATCAAAATGCTGTTAAAAGAACACAATCTCCAGCTGTGGTTTTCAAGCCAACCAAGTTTCGAAAAGACTGAATGAGGAGATACTTGGAAAAGATAAAACTATTTAAAAATAGCTTTTCCCATAACAGTAAAATAATAATGCCATTAATTAAAAAAAAACAAACACCAACAACAAGTGCTAAATCATATTGCTGTGTAGAAAATCACTCCAAGTAAAGGTGATTGAGCCTCTTGAATTTGAAGGAAGAAATCGCTTGAAAACAGAGATCTGTGGACAAGATTAACATTATAAAAAAGGGACATAACTCTTTGGAATACAGTTATACCATAATATGTCCCTTCAAAATTTGTCACAGGTGTTTAAATATCAACATAATAAAATTCTGAATAGTGTTCCATTGCAATACACTACAATGTGTAGCACCTGGCACTGATGGGTTATTCACTCTAATCCATGTTTTCAACAAATTTGTAAAATAATTTATTTGCTACAACGCATTATAAATGAGTGCCTAATTTACCTGTTTGTCAATCACTATGGTGTTGACCTCTGTTTGATAGAAAGGTCCTCTGAAAAATATCACAAACATTTCTGTAATTGTACCTCCTCATTAAAATTACTGAAGGTGAAAAATTCAGAGATTTTATCACACTTCACTTCATAAAAGGGATGTCCTTAATTTGAATGAATTTGATTCATAACTCATAAGAACTCTGGGTCTGTGGTTATTAAGAAAATTATGCTGATCGACGACAGGTGTTAAGTCACAGAACAAGCTCATTGGTGAGATAAAGTTAAACAGGTTTTAATAGTTTCTACAGTTACAGTTACTTATGTGAAGTTGAAACAAAAGAAGTCAGAAAAAGCTTTACTGATTGTTTATAAGAGAACTTAATCACTGTTAGAACTATTTGACTTACTTCTTAGGAATACCCCACGACCAGATAACCTTTGGAGACTGCAACAAATACACGGGTTTGAATCAAACAACACAACAGGTGACATATAAAGTACCAGATATTCATACACATCACAGGTAATGCGCGTAAATCATAGATATTTAAATAAAGAATCCTATGATGCTTATATATCATTAACGGCTATAAACATCATCCAAATTTTAAAAAATTTTTTCTTAAAAACATGTATCAAAACTTCAATTATTTGAAATAGAATATAAGAAAACAGGTATAAACATTAACAGTTGACACACCCATATGCATATTTTGGGGATATTAACATTTTATAAATGTATACATCATATTGTGTTAACCTTGTCTTTGAATGTCTGATCTCTCCTATTATCAAGCTGAAAACCAATTCTAAGAGGAAAATAAAGATTCATCTATTAAGACAATCCACATTCAGTCAAAAAGGTGAAAAATCACTGGCTAAACATGAACTTCCTGTTTGATGTGTTTCCCATGTTGACAAAAGAATGAAATGCAATTATAGATAAAAAAAAAATTCTGTACTTCTGTTCTGTATTGTTTGTAAAAGTACACTACCTTATTCAATATATCCGTCCACTTCCATGCACAAATGGGACCATTTCCGCCACTGAAAAAAAACATCAAAACAATTTTGTTGTGCATTAGTGTATAAACAAATTTTAACAGTAAACATCAGTGTATACATTGTGGAAACCATTGTTTTGAAGAAACTTTTCATACAAATAAGAAATCATTTGAGTGGTGTTATATACAACCTAGCGTATATATTTGCTTTTTAATTGCTACATAATATCATATATATCATAAATTAACTAGTAGACCTTCTGAATAAAATTCCTGGGATTTAAAAAGGGTTCTGTTTCAGTGCGTTGATACATAATGGGATGTAATTGGTATGCTGTAGTGTATCTTGTAGTAGAATGGAATGTCTATAATGTAACAACACCTGGAGTTTATTATAAGGATTGTTTGTAATAATACCTGATTAAGAAGATATCTGATGAAGCTAGACAAAATATTGATCCATCCTCTGAAGCTGTAGGAAAAAAAGACATCCATTTATCAACTACTCTCAATATGTTAATGCTTTAAACAGTAGTAAGCCAAGAAATAGAGGAATTCACTGGTAGGCACATACCACTATAACATAACTTATATCAATTTAATGTAAGTCATCCTTGGTATTCCAGGGGTTACAATTACTTATACTCTTTACACCCCTAGAAAATTTCCTGGCAAAATTGAAAGCACAAGGGAAGAAATTTGATTGGTCTAGAGTGGGTTTCAGGAGAAAAAACTGACCAACCACTGAATGACACACTCTTTTGATGATTACAAAGGAGCAACACCAAAAGCCATTACAATATACCGTTAGACGACCTCAAAGTTTCATTTGATGTACATCAAAGGATCAAACTAGTCTTTTTGTCTCATTAACTAGGTTTTGCACATGGAACCCTTCAATTTTTCCATAAAATGTTCCGGAAGTGCAGAGAGTGATAATGAGCATGACCCCTGGAGTACCGAGGATGAATATAAGTTTGATATTTTCTCTCCATTTCTACTTACATTTCGTCAGAGGTACCGTAAAAATTTCGAGCAAATGCATCAAGTGGTATAATAATTCATTAATGTAAAACTACTGCGTCTCAAAGGAAGGTTTTGCAATAAAATGATCAGCTGGCCTACAAAACATCATGAACAGCATGACTTCAGCTGTCATGGTATTCATAAGGTTTTGACATGTGAAATAAACTGACTGTGCTCTAATACTATGGTAAAAAAACATTGTTCTATAGGTTAAATAATTCAAAGTAACTTTTGACCTATTGACCTACCTTAATCAAATAACAAATCTGGGGAAACACTTACAGAATATGACAAAGTATGGGCATCAGAAATTTTTCTCTGACGATATCATTTTGATATCAAGCTTCCATGGTCAAGATGATTTTTTTTAATTGACATATTTTCCAATCACTGCATTCACTTTGATAACATACAGATTATACAGATGAAGTCATCTGTGATGATATTTTCATTAAGGACTGATGTCACAAATCGTTTCCGTCAGTCATCTGTGTTGGAATAGATGCTTACCTTTGTATGAGTAGACTGGCTTCCAAAGTGCTTCTGTGCCGTCAGGTGATAGAGCTGTGGTCAGACTTAAATACAAGAACATCAATTCTATAATGAAGTCACATCAAACTAAAATTAACAGTGTTGATTAAGTAGTCAAAGTGATGGTGATAATTTGATATGGAAGATAAAGGGCGTTCTAGATCTAATACTTTTGACACTATTAATACATACATGTATTACTGTTAAATTTTCAGTAGCATGTATATTAGCATTTATGTTTTTAGAAAAACTGGATACATTTAACCATGACATATTAAACCAAGGCAAAATATTGAAGTTTTCAGCTGTAATACATATTTTGATGTCAATAATCATTTAAATCTCAGTTGCCAAACTCACCTGAAAATTGCGATGTATCCATGATTATTTGCTGCAGCCAGGAACTTTCCACATGGGGAAAAACATTGTGCAAACACTGATGTGTGGTACTGTTTACGAGCTGCTAGACTGCGGTCTTGCTAAAATATCGGTATACAAGATTAATATGCAAATATTAATATCTTTGGGCTAATAGTCCAACATGGTAAATGTTTATGGTACAAAGCTGTAAAAGGAGATTGTGTGTGGTTTATACTGAACATAGTTACCTCCCTTCCCATTTATAAAACATTCTTTTCCTGAAGCAGTAAGAACTATATTCCAATAGAAAAATAGAACACCATATCTACGTATTGACCTGTTGTTGTTTATAATTTTCAATTATTAACTTTGATCCAAATCCCTCAAGGAATTAAGCCACTAGAGTGCTGACAATGATTTTCTTAAAATAAAACAGGTAACAGTGACCTTGACCTTAACCCTGTGGCTCAATCTCACCTGTTACATTACGATACTTTACATCTTTAATAGAAGGCTGGGAAGTTTTATCAAACCCCCTCAAGAACTAAATCTGTTTGAGTTCAGACATGGATTTTCTAAATAGTGATAACATTAATAGTTTAATCTCTAGCCTCCTTCTCAACATGCAACAAATTTGTGATCTTATCAGAGCTACAACAGTTTAATCCTAATTATTCTCATGCTCTTACAACTATATATTTTTTTAAATAGGTCTGAATTTCATTAACTTTTTGAACTGGGTTCCTATGTGAAATATGAGGGAAATAAGTTATCTATGATTGTAGGGCTGGATTTCTTATGTTTATGTTTATGAACTCCAAATTGACATAAAAATGTTGATAGAATGTGAGAAGAATTAGGACTACTATCAGCTGGTTAGTTCCTGGTAACAAGACCCTTACACATTAGTACTGTGGACTAATCAAACAAATATAAAATAAAATTCAACTTCAATCATGCAAAATGCCCTGGTTTAAGCCTGATACATGTACTAAAACTGTAGTCTACACTAGTAATATAAGTGCCATTTTTAACAGGTTTTTAATTCTTTTTCCAATTTATCAAACTAATGACAGGCAAATAATGTACATATATGTAGTTAAGAAAATTGCAAAAATATGGGAATCAGCATTTGTGTATAATGTAAATATTGGGAGAACCCTTGGATTTGAGATGATATGGGAAGTCTGTGATCTATATAAAGTCCCTGTAGTACAGATTGAAGGTTTGTAATGTCTAGGTACAGCTGGCTGGAAACAGAGTGGTAAATGGCCTGTAAACCTGACAAAAGCACACTGATACAGGTCACAGACAACACTTATAAATTTCTGACTTTATGGTCACATACTGGAAAAGGAACATAGCATTATGTACTTTAATTGGTATAACCATCAGCCAAGACTGAAAGTTAAACACTCATTAAGTAACATCTGTACCAAATTCAACAAGTTACTTGGGTTCATTAGAAAGAAATAGCTAAATATAAAACAATTTTACAACCTACACTAGAGTGTGCTATAACCATATGGACACAACATTAACCAACAGGCACACAGGTTTGTCATAAATGATGTAATATCTGAAACATGTTCAACCTATCTTGTATATATATCATATTGTTTGTAGTTATCAAACCCCTGTGCAACAGGCCATGGCCATAGAAAGTGTCCAGAGATTGCAGCACGTTCTGTAATGGTGCAGCAACTACTAAGCCTACAGGCACCATCAACAAGATCATACATCAACTTGGCTGAGAAAGCCTGGAGATTTGGAAAATCAACAGCAGACTAAATGTGATGTTCAAGACCATTCATGATAAAGTTGAGGCTAGGCATGAGCATAACTTAGTGTAATATTTTCGCAATAAGCAGGGCTCTCTATCTGCCAGATTTGGGGCCGAATTCCCAATGCAAAATAGTATCTTTTTTTCCCAATTTAGACCCCAAGTTTTCCCAATTCTTAGGAAAGTGCCATTATTTTTCCCAATTTTAAGGGCCCTGGGCCCTTGGCCCCAATCCCAAAATGGGGTGTGAGAGCCCTGATAAGTAACAACTAACTCTAAGAGATTGCAAGATCCAATGATACAAGTGCATGTCACTTTCATAAGGTTTAACAGAGACGTATATATCACATTATATACGTCTCTGGGTTTAAATACACTTGAACTGTCGGTCTATCCATGACTCCAAACCTCTGTCATAGGTATATCAAGTGTCAAGAGGTTATAAGCTGTTTGTCAACATGCTCGTGAGTTAATTTGTGTACTACAAGGAAAATTGCAAATTTGCATATAATACGCACACTAGCCCATTGCATGCCAGTTGGTGTATGGATCTGTTACTTTAAAAAGCCGAGATCACTTTAAACTTAACCTTTACAACCTTTATAGTGAATCATCAAACAAATGCAATATTTTTAAACGATTTCTATATTACCTATGTTACAATTTTACTAGACAAACATTTTAGGAAACTTCTAAGTGGCCAGCACTTTCAGTTAACATCTTTAGGTAAAACTATTAACCTGTTACAAAATTATGTGACTTTTGCAAAAGTTATTGTTTAAACGATTTCAACTATTTTTAGTAACAAATCCACGACCTCAATAGGCGTACAATAAGCCAGTTAGTGTAATTTACGCAACTTCCCGATTTTCCCCTACCTGTCCATCATCATGTCAAATACTTTGTAATGTTAAAAGTCTGACAGTTCAGCTCAACGATGTAGACTTAAATCTGAAAGTATTTGAAGACGAAGACAGGTTGGCGGATACAGGGCGGAATGGTCCGAGCTTGCCTAGTTCCCGTCATAATTACCTCTTTCATGTCCAGTTTGTAATTCTTGTCTCTATTTGGTATTGTAGGATGTTACTTCGATTTTGACTTCCCGCGGAGATGCCGGTTGGACTTGTAAAGTTGGAAATGAAGATCGGACCGGATTTTATTTTAACCGGAAATTAACTAGTGCTTCCCAGGATTCCCGTTGCCACCGCCGCCATCTTCTCAAGCTCGGAAGACAACGACGCCTGTCATTGTTCAGTCGGATTTACCTGTCCCCCCGGAACAAAGGCTTTGTTTATTTGTGCTTATCAAGGGGGCCAGTCTATCACAGACTGTCACTATTTTTGATACCGAGGATATTTTTAAACTGTATAAATAATGAGTCAAGCTACAGGTAAAAAGAAGGGAGGTGGATTTTTGTCCAGGGCAGCGAAAGCCAAAGATAAAGCGACGCTAGAACCAATCACGGAAGATGAATTACTAAAGAAAAAAGACATTTCACCCGATGAAGTTTTGCGTTTACAAAAAATATCAGAAAGTGAGTTGTTAGCATTTATATGACCGTTTGTCTGTCTGTAACCAAAAATATACCCCAGTTGGATGTAACAAGTACTGGAGCACCGACAAATCTTGGGAAATCTGGCAATATAGTCAAACCTGACTATACGTATATAGGGCAATTCTATACAACTGAGCTATACCTGGTCGCGATCATGGTGTGTACATAAAAATGGACGACGTATCTAGCGAGTTGGTAACACTATTTTTTTTTTGTCATAAGACACTATTTCTGTGGAGTTGGTTGAATTTCGTCGTTGCAAATTTCGGTACTTGCATCCCTTTTTCCACGTGTTCCAATAGTGAAACATGAAATTTCCTTAATCTAGATTAAAACACCAATTATTTCATTTTCTTCCACCTCAAATTTTACATTCATTGCAGGTTACACATTTTTGCACTGAAACGTCATGCTAAAAGCACACCTGTGGCCTGAACCTGCATCAATAGGATGCTTATCTGCAGATGACACAGTGAATGAATAAGGCCATATTGGTGTGTGTACATGATACTGAAAATATGTAGTGTTGAAATTCTAAAAATTTGCCTAAAACTTCGCAAATATGCCAAAAATTTCACTGACTTCCATAATTTGTCATCATTTTTCTTTTGATATGCATGAAAGAAATGTGACTGGATCCCACCTGCATATTTACATTTGCTATATATAGGTATAGTCTGATTCAACAGTATAAGCAAAATCTTGTTATTTATCCAGATTTGTCAGTGCTATAGTACCTGAGTACTGGAGCTGGTTTAAAATTGTAAGAAATGTCAAATAGCATGAATGGTCCTTTGCTGACAGTAGCTAGAAAACTAACTATGTTTTTGCTTATTTTACGAATTGCAGTTGATAATCATATACTTCTTGTAATCTATCTGTCCACCATATATCAGTTTCTGTAAGATACAAAAGGTAAACAACTATCCAGAATGCTAATATTAAGGATGCAATGTTCATTAATCATGAATGTATGGAAAAGACTAATTTTTCAAGTTTTTATGTCACCATCAGAAATTATGAAGCAGTTATGGTCAATATTCAAGTATTCCAGTATTCCTCACTCCAATACACTACAGATATAATTAAAGCCTCAACACTCCTCTTGCAAGTACTCAGTCCTCACCCCCAATACACCACACATGTTACCCTTTGGTCTTACATTGATCTATTCTCTTCAACCACAATACACCACAAATATCACCTTCAACCTCTCACCCTGCAATCCTCCTAAGAGCAGTTCACATTCCCCAAATACCCTAATGAAAACACCTTCCTATTCTCCTAAGTCTAGTACTTCTTGCCCCCAATACACCACACATATTGCCCTTCAGTCCTCCTCAGACCTATACCCCTAACCCCCATTACATATTCATATTACTCGTCACTCCTTCACAGACCAGGATCCTCAATACCTTCTTACCCAATACTCTTTGTCCCCAATATGTATATACAGTATTTATTCCAATAAACGCCCCGTCTCTAATAAATGCCCCCCCCACCTGTTTTCTCAGTAAATTTCAACAACTCTGGAGTCGGGTTACAAAGCTTACCTTTTAATAAATTTTAAATTCCTGGTATCCATGAACATGAACAAATGAATTCTGGCACAAGAAAATTACACTGTCACGACATGTACAGAAGTAATATCAATTTAATCCACGGTTCATTTCAATATACTGCAGGCCTAACGGCCGGGACTGCCGTACAAGCTACTGTCTTCACTTTCACTTTCACTTTCGCCAGTCTCGCTTTCACTCAGTTCTATTTGTGTAATAGAAGGCGCGTTCACATCACCCATTAAATTTTGCAAAACGTCATCTGCAGCTTGGACATCCTTTTCACTAAACCCCTGAAATTCCTCATCGTCAGAATCATACTGGAAAATATGATCCTCGCTACCGTCTAGCGAATTTGTGATACCACATTTTTTGAACAATCTTCTGATTGTGTCCGGGCTAATGCTATCCCATGCTATCTTGACCGAAGACAACATTACAGCTTTAGATGGGGCTTTACGATTCCCTGCTTTGGTTTTCTCAATGGGGCCACTGAAGCACCATTCCTCATACAACTCTCCAAGTTTTTGTTTGAAGGGTTTATTCCACGACACATCGGCTGGCTGTAGCATACATGTACATCCTCTGGGTATAACACAGATGTCTGAATTATATTTTTGACGAACCAGTTTTTTTACATCTTCAGTAAGATGACCACAGAAAGCGTCCCATACTAATAACTGCCTAGCTGTATTATTCACACCCCAGAGTTTTTTAACCAAAATTTTATACTTTCCACGTTTGCCCAGGATTTTTGTCTGGCCCCGCACATGTATACCACAATACCACTTGGTATGTCATCTTTCGGGAGGGGACGAACGCCTGGCATGTGCACAAGGGGGACGATTTTAGTCCCATCGGCGTATGCTGCCAGTGTCATCGTTATTTTTTGTTTTTCGTGGCCAGTACTGTAAACTCTGACCTCCTTTTCCCCCTTTATTGCCAATGTTGATTTTCCTGGCATGTCAAACCACACCGGGGTTTCGTCCATGTTAGCGATATGGCTATCGGGGTATTCTCGTAGCCGACGCATTCTTAACACGAAATTAAAAAAACTGTCAATACAATCATCAATTAATGAAACTCCATGTTGTGCCACATGCGTAGATCGCCTGAACGAAATGTTATGTCTCTTTTTGAATTTAGAAAACCAGCCATATGAGGCTTTGAACGATTGACTACCATTTGCCTTATGCATACGCAGGGCCTCAAACCGCAATGCTTTCCTAGTCACTCGTATTCCGGCCTCCCATCTGTCCTGTAGCCATCTCATCAGATTTTTGTCAATATCTTCATATCTGACATGCCTCCCACCTCCTTTACAGCGTTTAGATGTTTTAGAAAGATTTTTTAATTTTTCTTTGTTTTGACACCAGTCCCGCACTCGTTTTCTGTCAACACGAAACACTTTCGCGGCGGCATGTTTACCCTTCTTCTCTGCGAAGGCGATTACTTTAAGCTTGAAAGCAGTGTTGTAATTTCGTTTTGTCCCAGACATTGTTATCAGGTATGTGGGATTTATTAAGAAACAGACTGGCTTATATACCGCTGTTTTTTTATTTTGTTATGCAAACTAGGCCTACAAGCGATGATGAACATTGTACGTTTTTGACTGAAGCTGACACGATTGACATTGTGTCATTTCATACAAGAATTCAGGTTATCAGAATGCAATTGACAACAGTGTTTAAAGCTACAACGATGTTGGAATTACTGCAATTTTTAAATGCATTCTTTGCTGAGTAATTCGTTAGTTTGTTAAACAATGTTTTTAAGTGGCAGCCATGGCATGTCACGACCAACAAATTATGAAATTTTGTGTTCTATTAATCGCCCCCTGTCTAAAAAAAATTTCACGCCCCCTGGGCGTTTATTGGAATAAATACGGTATGCCATACATATCACTACACATAATTTTATCACCTTCAGTACTCCTCATCCCAAATACAAAACAGACACATATATATGTGATTTTATCCTTCAATCCTCCACAGACCAGTACTCTTCGTCCCCAGTACACCACACGTCATCCTCTAGTCCCCAAACCTGTATTCCTCACCCAAATACACCACATATATCACCCTTCCATCCCCGACAGCCCTGTGCAACTTATCCCAATACACCACACATATCAGTGTACCATGTAATCACTCTTCAATATTCCCCACACCTGTACTCCTCATCCAAATACAGTACACATATCAGTATTATCACCCTTCAGTCCTCAGACCTGTACTGCTCACCTCCATTACACCACACCTGTACTCCTCACTCCTATTACACCACACCTGTACTTTTCACTCCCATTACACCACACCTGTACTATTCACTCTCATTACACCACACCTGTACTCCTCACTCCCATTACACCACACCTGTACTCCTCACTCCCATTACACCACACCTCTACTCCTCACTCCCATTACACCACACCTGTACTCCTCACTCCCATTACACCACACCTGTACTCCTCACTCCCATTACACCACACCTGTACTCCTCACCTCCATTACACCACACCTGTACTCCTCACTCCCACTACACCACACCTGTACTCCTCTCTCCCATTTCACCACACCTGTAAGCCTCACTCCCATTACACCACACCTGTACTCCTCACTCCCACTACACCACAGCTGTACTCCTCTCTCCCATTTCACCACACCTGTAAGCCTCACTCCCATTACACCACACCTGTACTCCTCACCTCCATTACACCACACCTGTACTCCTCACTCCCAATACACCACACCTGTACTCCTCACTCCCATTTCACCACACCTGTACTCCTCACTCCCATTACACCACACCTGTACTCCTCACCTCCAATACACCACACCTGTACTCCTCACCTCCTCACCTGTACTCCCATTACAAAACACCTGTACTCCTCACCTCCATTACACCACACCTGTACTCACCCTACAAAACACCTTCCAATACACCACACCTGTACTCCTACACCACACCCACCTCGTTACACCACACCTGTACTCCTCACTCCATTACACCACACCTGTACTCCTCACCTCCATTACACCACACCTGTACTCCTCACCTCCAATACACCACACCTGTACTCCTCACCCCCATGACACCACACCTGTACTCCTCACCCCCATTACACCACACCTGTACTCCTCACCTCAATTACAAAACACCTGTACTCCTCACTCCCATTACACCACACCTGTACTCCTCACCTCTAATACACCACACATGTACTCTTTACCTCGTTACACCACACCTGTACTCCTCACTCTCATTACACCACACCTGTACTCCTCACCTCCATTACACCACACCTGTACTCCTCATTCCCACTACACCACACCTGTACTCCTCACCACCATTACACCACACCTGTACTCCTCACCTCAATTACAAAACACCTGTACTCCTCACTCCCATTACACCACACCTGTACTCCTCACCTCTAATACACCACACATGTACTCTTTACCTCGTTACACCACACCTGTACTCCTCACTCCTATTACACCACACCTGTACTCCTCGCCTCCAATATACCACACCTGTACTCCTCACCCCCATGACACCACACCTGTACTCCTCACCTCCATTACACCACACCTGTACCCTCACCTCCAATACACCACACCTGTACTCCTCAATCCCATTTCACCACACCTGTACTCCTCACTCTCATTACACCACTCCTGTACTCCTCACTGCCACTACACCACACCTGTACTCCTCACCTCCAATACACCACACCTGTACTTCTCACCTCCATTACACCACACCTGTACCCTCACCTCCAATACACCACACCTGTACTCCTCATTCCCACTACACCACACCTGTACTCCTCATTCCCATTACACCACACCTGTACTCCTCATTCCCATTACAAAACACCTGTACTCCTCACTCCCATTACACCACACCTGTACTCCTCACCTCTAATACACCACACATGTACTCTTTACTTCGTTACACCACACCTGTACTCCTCACTCCCATTTCACCACACCTGTACTCCTCACTCCCATTACACCACACCTGTACTCCTCACCTCTAATACACCACACATGTACTCTTTACTTCGTTACACCACACCTGTACTCCTCACCTCCATGACACCACACCTGTACTCCTCAATCCCATTTCACCACACCTGTACTCCTCACCTCCAATACACCACACCTGTACTCCTCACCCCCATTACACCACACCTGTACTCCTCAACTCCATTACACCACACCTGTACCCTCACCTCCATTACACCACACCTGTACTCATCCCCCTCATTAATCCATACATATCAGTTTCAAATTCCTCCCCAAACCAGTATTCCTCACCAAAATACACCAGTCACATCACACTATTCAATCTTCCTTAGCAGACCAGTACTCTTCAGTAACCCCTCCTCCAACAAACAAGTATATGGTACAGTGCAGCCATTTATTGTGATTGATATCCTGGGGACCAACACAATTACCACTTCTTATTAAAAACAGTAAAGGGGTTTATTTCAGGACAATGAAATGTTACTTGTTCATAATTCTACTTGCTATTAGTGGGTGGGCTTAGCCCTGGATACATAATATTGCCACAACATGAAATGATCAGCTTCTGCTTCTGTTAACTCTAGGTATCAGACATACTAGTAGAAATAAATATATATATAAATATATAATGTTATATATGATATATACCTATATGTGGTGTATAGGATGCCTCAGTAGGCGTGTTCACTGATTCGTGAAGAATCTAATCAAGCATGAGTTTTAGACCTTTTTTCCTTGGAACATGGATTCAAAACACACTGATGAGAATGATTTCTTTTGAATTAATTGTTTCCCTACCAATGTCTGCTTGGATTGCACATTAGTTCTGCAGTTGGGTTTCCCTCCAACAGACAAAACAATGTTTGTTCCCTTCATCACTTGGTGTTGTATTTAAGTTGTAATAAAAGCTGTACAGATGTGTGTATTGATCGATGGTTTTGTTAAAGAATGAAAATTAATAAAGGTTCATTATCTTTACTAACCTGTCAAATACAGTACATATGATTAACTGGTAAAGAATATTTTGCTTCTGATGTTATCAAGTTTTGACAGGATTTTTTTAGAAATATTATTATTTGTACTGTTAAGTACATAGATGAATACTGACTTTCTAATTATAATGAATGAAATCAGTTATAAAAGTCATTATGATTTTCATCCTTTTCAGAGTACTTGTGCACTCCAGATGCTAACATATATGGCATTGACTTCACACGTTTCAAGCTGCGTGACATGGAATCTGGAGCTGTATTGTTTGAAGTGGCAAAACCTCCCCCAACAGGTTTGCATTTAAAAGACAACACTACTAAAATCATACTTTTTTTAACATTAATATGATCCAATATATCTTTTTTCATCACTTTCTAACATTGACAGTCCAATATTACGATAGAATGGTGTCAGATATTTATACAGCACCTCAAGCTCCTTCTCGGTAATAAAATACTGTTTCCTCTGTTGTATACGTCTGTATACATGTATACGTATGTTGTCATAAATCCTGGACCACTGTGTACACACAGTACATCATTCTTATTAAAGCCATATTCAGTACCAAGAATTACTAAAAGCCTGCCAATCAAAATAACAGCATCTGTAAAGCATGTTGATGGCACTGATGACACGGGTCTTAATTTGCGGATATGTAGGTGTAATAATTGATATTGTTGGAGATATTGATCTGAGCCAATGATACAGGTGTCTCAATATGGTATTGTGATGCATTGTTCATCTTTGCTTTGTGTAATACCTCACTCTTCCTGGTGAATACACTATATTGATCTGAAACCACACAAGCATATGTGGTTTTTCATGTATCTGAGAACTGTATTGTTAATAATTTGCTAGGCCAAATGGACTGCCCATTAATGATGATATAAAAGTTATCAATGGAGCAAGGCAATAGGTAGCAGGAAACAGTTAATTTGCATTTTTCCTGAAATTATTGGTCATGTTTTAGATATACAGGTATAGCAGATTGGTTATAGAAAATACATCATTATATGTATATATATTTACAGTTGCATTAATAGTAGAGAGATAAAATTTGTGTAAATCAAAATTTTCCTCTGATTTCTGACATGTGATTGTCATGGTTACCTACTGAAAAAATGCTAAAAATACAAAAATACTGCTAATTCCAACCTAACACTACAACTTTCCAGAAGAAATTTATTTCTAAACACCTATCTTAAAATCAACAACACTGTCATGGTAACAAAGTACTTACATTTCAGCAAATGCCAACACAGAAATCCTTCATAACATGACCACATGCAAACACTATGAAAATTTCACTTTCTGGTTTTTTGGTGCGTAGAAACAGATTCGAGACTGGCCAAATAGTAATCTCCAACACAAAGCTAAAATATTATTCTGAAAAAAATGAAACCCCACATTGTCCACTTTTACATGACAAGACCAAATTTAACAAGGATTTATTTTTTTCGATTTTAATTAAAACCATTATAATGGGGTAATCTAATGAACAAAAAAAAAATCACCCATGGCCACACCAAGAAACTGTGTACTGCTACCAATATATTCACTTACCTGGGTTATTACATACAATATTAACACAAAGATAATCAAGTGTTCTTGATTTTTCTTTTTTTTTTTTTTTTTTTTTCCAAGAGTGCAAAGGCTACTGACTTATTTGATGCTGGGTTGTGAGGTTGTCTGTTTTATACATGTATGTGGTTGTTTGTGATAGTATGTGTTTTTAAATTACCTAGTATGTTTACCTTACTGTTTAATCAGATGATGATGACGACATGGATCCAGAGGAAATCGACCCTAATGCAGGAAGATTTGTACGATATCAGTTCACACCACAGTTCCTTAAATTGAAAACCGTTGGTGCTACGTATGTATTCTTGTATTAAAACATCAAAATTGTAAAATCAGTCTTTAAGATAAACTGTTATGTGACATACCAATGCGATTGCCATTGTTCTCGTTCATAATTTCATTCAAGAAAATCAAGTACATGATCAAATGTATCATTACGTTCTAAAAAATAAATTCTTCAGTATAATGGTACGATTTCATCTTTAAAAAATATTTTACTGTGATAATTTAAATATTAGAAATGTTAGCCATATTGAAATTCATTGTTTAACTTTGTTGTACTTTGGAATAGAGAGTTTCAAAGGAAACCCTGTTGGTCATATTTTATAATTCGTACAGTGATAAGCATGCATGAATGACATCACACTTTTACGATAGAAATAGATAGATACAAGTATACATTTAACTACTCAGGACAAATAGACAGTCCTCACCGTTGAAAATGGTAATGTGAAATGGGCAGTAACATTGATAATCTGATGTGAGAATATCTTCAGATAGACTTCTGTCCTTATTCTCATTGAGTTTGTTAAAAGGGGGACATCAAAATGGTAAATTTTTGTCAATACAATTGCTGGGAACTATTTCTGCCAAATTTGGAGAACCTATTCTCAGATAAAACTCACCATAATTATTGTATAAAACTGTTAAATATCAGGAACATTAACCTGTACAATTACTGTATCTATTTGGGACAATCTGTATTTTGGGTTGGAGGAAGTAAAGAAGAATTTTCACTTATAAATGTAAATCAGAGATACATATGCTTTGTTTAATTTAACATCCTTTCTAAACTGTGGCCAGAATTGGTTTAAAAGAAAGACATCATGATTTCACTTGTCACTGATCATTGGATAACTAAAAGCTTGAAAACAACCAAACTGCAATCTCTATTTGGTAGAGGACATGTACATAATGTCATATTTTATACTCCATAGCCTTAAGGATTGTAGAATTTCTTCATAATAATTTTAATGTTGCTTTTAATATTGAAAAATAATATATTCATAATTTCAAAACGATGCATTTGACAGAATGAAAACAGAATTATAAGCAGATTTATGTAATAAATTTTTCATTGCTTGTATTAAGTTTTAAGATTTAGTAAATTTTTACTGGGTGTCCATAATTTCATTATTTGTCATCCTATACTATTTGAATTTTTTTAGGGTGGAGTTTGTAGTTGGAGATAAGCCTGTGAACAAATTCCGCATGATTGAGAGACATTACTTCAAAGAAAAAATGTTGAAAAGCTTTGACTTTGAATTTGGCTTCTGCATCCCTCAAAGTAGGAATACAGTGGAACATATATATGAATTTCCATACTTATCTCCAGACGAAAGTAAGTTGTTCTCCGAGATCATCAGTCAGTAGTTATTTAAACTATACTATGTTATGCTTGTTGTAGACTGTAAATGCTTTCACCTGTAATGAATATTTAGGGAAGAAATCTTTTCATAATAGAACTCATCTTGTGAAATAGCTTTGTGTTTTATAAGTTTGTTGATGAGCAAATTTTCCAGATTTTTATTTCCATTTTTGAGGTAATTTCACTTCCTAATGACACCGGCCATCTATTAATAGTCACTGGTTTGTACAAAAAATATCCAAGAGATAACAAAATGGCTGGATTTATGTTACCGTTGTAATTACATATAAATGCCACTTTATACCCAATATTAAAATGATATTCATAACACCGTGAATGACATTGACTAGTTTAAGCATCACCATGGTAATGGCATGATCATAATTCATAATAACTTTAGATTTTACTAACTTTCTTATGAGGAGGCTGTTCTCAATCTGTTCAGCAATTCCGAATCTAGAGACTTGATGTTTTAAGTTTGATTTGTTGTGACTTTTAAAAAACAAAACGTGTTAGAGATTCAGATTTACAGAATATATGGTTAATATAAGCTTAGTTAATATAAGTGCAAGCTGGAAAAGATGAGTTCAGTGGGAAGTATTTTGAACACTTTATGTTGAACTTACGATTGCTTCTGAATATATGCCTACTGAAAAACATCTATCTTAATAATTGGCTTCATTTTAGCAGGAATAAAACATACCATAGTGTTATATTTCAAGTTAGGCTAAAAATGAAACACAATTGTATATGTAAATGCACGTTATGAATAAACACTAGATTTAGAAACTTAAAAATAATTTCCGTGTGTGAAATGTGATTAATAGATCAGTCTTACCTTATATTTTTAGTAGCCAGGGTTTTCCATAATTTTGTTAGTAGTAGGCTGTGTAGTGAAAGTAGGAGGCTGGCCTGCCGTGTACGTGTAGTCGTGTACGGAACATTATTATGGAACTGGATTGGTGGATTGGCGGCCAAATGATCAAAGTAGCCGGTCAAATTAGCCGGCGACCGGCTCTTATGGAAAACCCTGAGTAGCACAAGTTTGAAAATGTAGAGATTGGTTTTCTGGCGAAAACAAAAATGCAAACAAATATTAGAAAAGCTAGTCTTTACCTTGTCCTCAGAGAAGTCATTGGAAAGTATGTTTAAGTTTTCTTAACTTTATTTACAGTTGAAGAAATGATTGATCATCCATTCGACACCAGATCAGACAGTTTCTACTTTGTTGATGATAAACTGATCATGCACAACAAAGCAGACTACGCATATAATGGAGGAACGTAACACTGCCTTCTTATGACCAGCAGGCCTGGACACTTCATAGGAGGGCACACTGCCAGAGAACACTACATACCAGCAAACTTGTGCAAACAGAGACATACGCCCTTTGTGTAAATATCTAATTTACTGAGATGTGTGTAGAAAAGTCACATATATGATGGCCGTTTTGGCTGGCAGAAACAGGAACAAAGAGACTTTGATTTGCCAAGAAGAAATTTTCTGAGAAAAAAAAAAGAAGAAAAAAAATGATATATGAATGGAAAAAAATCACCTCCACTACATAAATACACCTTGATTACAAGCAGATATTGCATGCTTTATTTAATATATAAATATATACAGATATATATAAACAATAAGTTCTTGTCAAATGTTGAAAAATCTTACTTTTAATGAAACTTTAAGCTTGTTACTTGTGAGAAATTCCTATGGAAACTACTAATTTAAAAATCTCCTCAATATTATTCTCAATTGAAATTTTTAACATTACATGTTTTCATTCCTGTTTTCTTCTGCTTGGCTATCAGCGTGTAACTTGGTAGTTAGAACAGTTTTGTTTCATTGATTTGCTTTGTGTTGCGTACTACTTTCATAAGAGGAGGGACTAATGGTGATTGTTTTCTGGATGGCAAGTTTGCCTTCTGCATGTGACATGCTACACACTTTTGTAGTAGCCAAGCAATTTGTGGACATTAGCAACGAAATCCAGAGGTAAATTGTACACTGATTTTTCTTGTGTAAAATCATTTATTTTTTCTTTTTCTTTTACTATTTTTTTAAAAAGACATTTTTAATGACATTCTGAATACATCAGATACTTGTAAGTGTATTACTTTTCAGTAAATTGGTAAATTAAACTTAATTGCAATGTTGCAATGATATGTATATTGTATAGATAGCTGTAACACAAGGCACTCCTAAGTAATACCTCTCATATACCTCAAATAGCATCATTTGATAATATAACACTGTATATTGCCTTGTGTTGATTTCAGCCTTTATAATGAGTAGACAGATTATTTACTTAATATTTCATTATATATAATTATTTGGTAAAAGGAAAGAACTCCTTTTAACATCTATCATTCATTTCATTACAAAAAAATCTTAATAAAAATTCATGAAATTTTACAAAATTTCCTTTTCAAGTTTAAGGATTTTTTTTATAGTCATGAATCAAACATGGTGAAAATAGCACAATGAAGATGCAGTTGAATATCAGCCAAAGTTGAATATTTTAAAAATTTTTTGGTCACCTGGTTAGAAGTGAACTTTTGCTGTGGTGCGGTGTCTGCCTGGCATCAACTTTTCACTTCAAATAACTTCTTTTCAATAACAGAAAGGTCAAGGGTATTGATTTTTAGCCTGTAGCTTGCTGGGATAAATGGCTACAAAGTTTGTTCAAATGAATGACCTTGATCTACTTTCAAGGTCACATTGGCCAAATGTATGAAAATCCTTATAACAAGTTCTTCCCATTAACAGAAAGGCAGAGTAGCGATATTGGATCTGTGGCTTGCTAGGATGAAGGGCTACCAGGTTTGCTCAAATGAATGACCTTGACCTGCTTTCTAGGTCACAGGGGTCAAATGTGTTAAAATTTTGTTAACCTGATATATATATCTAACAGGTGAGCACAACAGGCACAATGGGCATTTTGTTTTTTAAAAAAGTAGGTATCTAGGAGGTCTTGTTAGACATATTTAAGATCGCAGCTAAATGAAGCATGCAATTATGTGTGGTATATAAATTGGTATTTTTCATATTAAGAAATGCATGACTGAAAATGATTTTCTGTGAGTCCTGGAATTATTGAGTATGCATTTTAGTCAAGGCATTATGAAGAAAATGGAATAAAACAAAATATGTTCCATGTAAATCCCAAAATAAAAATTTAAAAAGAAATGATTCGAAATTTGAATAAACCTTATTTTCTATGGATTCAATGTATTTTCTGAAAGAAATAGTAAATTGCAATAGAAATTTGTCTTCTTTTTTACTTTCCATAGTTTAGCTGAAATCTTAGCTACGCATTGTCAAATATGCTGTTCAAAAGATTCTCCCCAATTTTGGTATTGTTTTAACATAATACTTTCAAACCATTTGGTTTTATGAGATAAATTCATTTCATGTTGATGACATAATCTTTTGAATTGTACACTTATCAGCAGTAAAACCTACATGTTCCAAAGTGTAATTTTGCACTCATTTCATTGAAATCCGAAGGTTTATCATTTTTTACCTTGCCACATTGCTAACATTTGCTTATTTACATCTAGAACAATACCTTTTCCATTAAAAGAATGAGTCACAGAAATAGAATGAGCAATGAAAGTGTTTCTCCATTCAATTATCCAATAGCATTAAAGCACACAAACACATTTTCACAGAGACAACTGAAACATCATCAGAATCTCAAATTTATAAAAGACATAACATGTACCTATGATTTTAAGTTTGTGATATCATACATTCCAAGAAGCCATACACATTCTAATGACAGTAATGATGATTGTGATAGCTGAACTATTTTGATTTTAAGTACTCTCTATTTCTGTTCACTGTGTGTGTGTGTATGAATGATACATGTGTATATGCTTGTATGTAAGTAAGATATTAGATCCTTCAGTGATTGGTACTAATATAGTGAAAAACATATCTATCTACCTTTTATATAGAGTGACTGAAGATATTGAGCTTATATAGGTATCTTCACGAAGAATTGTGATACGTTTAAGATGGTACATTAATATATGTTGAAATCCACATCAGAGAAAATAAAACAGACCTTTTTTTAAAAATAAAAAATACATACTATTAGAATAATTTTAATATCAGAAACAAAATCTGCAGAATGCTGATGTACTTTTTTATCATTTAGATTTGGTTTTGTCACTTTCACTGACAAATCAAGGTAAAAAAAATTTTCTTCTAAACATAAGTGTTGAATACAGATTATCAGTATTGAAACAAATATTCTCTGTGCCTATTATTGTATTTTGTAAGTAAACGTTGTACAGCACATGATGATCATTCTGATGTTTTTACGGCAGTATTGAGAAACGTTAAATTATTAAAAATACTGTTTTCTGAAAGTATAACAATTAAAGATATTTTTTTTATCTTCAGTTAGTGAGAAAAAAGGAAATTATTGAAAATATTGTTACTATTGTTTTAGGACATTGTGGATTTACTGGTGAAATAAGCATGGAAAGATAGAGCTGTAACATGCAATAAGTGTATTTTCCCCCATTGGATTTAAGATCTCTACTTCTTATATACTGCATTCTGATGAGTTATTGCCATTTAGAGTTCGACGCCCATATTTTGTATGAATCATATGGTTTTCAAAAATTGTCATTTTTTAGAATGTAGAATTTACAAAGTGTTTAAATGAAGTTCTGTGTGACAAACTCTGCATGTATTGTATGACCATCCATGGTCTGCTGTTTACTAAACAGAATATTTTAGCTCTACACTTCGAAGGTAAACAGACTTTTATGTATTTCAGATGTCAAAGTCACTTGTATAAAAGCTGATTTGGAGAGGTTTTAATTACAGTTTAAATATTTTATGTTAAATTGATATAATAACACTTCATTCTTTAATTAATCAGTACTTTTAATAGGGTCTTTGATTGACTGAATTCCGCTCCAGTCATTGATGTAAAGTTCAGTCAAATGGTTTTTGTGATATATGTTACAGTAGAATATACTTAGAGTACCTGGTATTATCACAGATTCAGGTCTATATCTAAGTCCATGGTGTTATCAGAAGATGTTTTATTATATCAAGAAAAGACCTTTTTTAGATGTTTTAGAACAATAATTCTAATATGAGTGATAATACCTGATCAGAATGCAGTGCATAACAATATTTCTAATGAGAGTTAACATGTGATTCTAAAGTATTTCAGGGTCTTTTTCTGTGTATTATCCTTTAAGATTTCATTCCAACAATTAGTAAGCAGTTTAATTTTGCACAGCGTTTTTTTTTACTGTTCTTTTTTTGTCTATTATTAATTCATAGCCAGGTATATTCACAAACTATACACTTTGCCTGTGAGATATAGGAAAATATCAATTCGATAAAAACATTAGTGTGTTACATATACTTGTCTGATAGATTGTATTCATAATTTTAACTCAGATTCATGAAAAATGTCTCTATTCTGTCATAACCGTTAACATATATAGACTACACAGGGGACATATATTGGAAGGGAGATTCTCTTAATTACAGGCAATCAGTGACATTTATACAAATCTCCCTACCCTTCCTCACCACCTCTACAACACCGAACGACCCTTAGAAATGAAGTCGTGGTCACACACGTAAATATGTCCAGTTTGGAGTTAATGTACAGAAATATAGTGTCTATTTGAATGTGAACTAGTATATCGGTGAAGTGTTATAACATGTATTAGAAATTCAATAATGCATATCAAATCACATTAAACAGTAGTGTGTTATACATGTTGTGCTGTTTCAAAGAAATGCTCAAGTTTCTTCACCCTGGAATTAAGATTTTATACATACCTGTCAGTGTTGTGTCAGAATTGTGTTACATATGATGTTTATTTTACATATGCACTTGTATGATTCGCTTTAAGTTAATGTATAACTTATTTATTTTCTAACAAAGACACTGTATAATTATGTATTCATTAGATAGATATATGTGATGACCCGTTTCAAGTGACTATAACAAAAGATGTTTCATTCTCAAATAAACCATATTATGTTTTTGAATGTGAAATTTATATAAATCTGTATATGCTATGATTGCGATTTTTTTCTGTATTTTTTTTAAACAAAAGTCTAAGGTTTGGAAAAGATGAAAAGTGTGAGGTAAACTTCACTTCACCATTAAATTTGGATGTCAGAAATTATAAACTTTATTTGTTTTACAATAATTGGAAGACAAGTTATCCGACTTCTATTAATCACTCTTGTTGTCCCAGATGGAAGTGTGGGTGGAAATGTTCTTACTATAGAGGGAAACAGGAGTACCTAGTTGAGCATGTGACCTCTTCCCTTTTCTCAGCTGTTCAATTGAATCACTGACGTCTAGTTGAAAGGCGAGTTGCATTAACAC